ATATTGACATTACTTCATAAATTATTTGTAAAAAATCGAAATTAAATATGAAACTTCTACACCCTGTATCTCCGAAACTAAGCATTTTAGAACATACATTTTTTACTTATTTTTATCTGCAGAATATGCTGCTGAAGTTTCCGGAATACAGTGCGGACCACCCTGTATATTATATAAATAATATCTATACGTGTTAAAATACGAATTTATATATATTTAACCATTATTCTTAACATTAACCAAGTTTTTATTAAAACATTAAACACTCTTTAACGCTGATAACGCATAAGCCACAGCCTTGTATGTATTTATGGATAAATTTGCCTTAGATAGAACAAATCACGTGGCTATACAACATTATATTGTCACTGACTCACGATACTTCCATTATAATTAAATATAATATGTTTAATAATAATATTTTTTTGAATAAATGGGACAGGCCGAGTAATCATAAAGAACAGAGAGATATGGTTTAGGAATTTTTATTTATTTTTAGCAATAATAAACTATAATTTAGAGTTTGTTTACAACTTTCTAGCAATTCGTAATACCGCAAACAAATGTTGACAAGAATACACTAAAATCCTAGTTATTTGTATAGATATGTATGTACATTCCTATTACTACATTACTAATAACCATTGCAAGGCCACTGTTGCCAACTTAGTGGTTTTCCCGCTATAGTAGCCGTTTTTTTTTCGGTTTAGGGGGAAAAAATCATTTAGTGCTATGGTTTAGATTTTGGAATAATAAATATTTAACATTGATACAAAAATTATTACATAAATTTTAAAAAACGATTTTTTTTGTAAATTTGCAGCAATAGTCACGTAATTATTATATATTCTTAAAATATCTAGGCCTAGATCGCCTAGAATCTTCGAAGTCTCATCAGAGCTCCATTAAAACATTCTACGCATTCTATAAAAACTACGTAATTATATATTAAATGATTATCTATTAAAACTACGTAATTATATAGTCTCTAGAATCAGCAACATTAATAGGTAATAGGTACCTTTTGTTTATACATTATAAAATGTAGTAGAAAAATATTAAGGTAGCAGAAAAATTAATGCAATATAATTATTGTATTAATTTTTCTGCTACCTTAAGATTTTTCTATTTTTACACCTAATTTATGTGATTTTCTTAGCATACATGATTTATAAACAATATTTTTCCTAATGGAAGGATGTGCAAGTATTAAGATATCTTAACATTTATTCTCCACATCACAAAGGTTAATATGTAGTATTAAGACATAAAAAAATATAAGAAATATCTTAATATAAATCACAAACTAACTTACGTCTTAAGTTGGTTTGTAAAAAATGAACCTTCACCATATTGTTAAGATTTTATTTTGGCATTACTTACAGGGAACAAGAAATTACAGCAAATTAAGAAAAGGATATCAAAGTCCAGGATATTAAATACTGTAACGTATTCTACAACATAAACCATATCCCTTCTAAAGAGAAAAAGATAAAATATAAAGCTTATTTTAATCCTATAAGCATTCTTCGATAAAATATATGCCTACAATTGCTATTAATCCACTAACTTGACATTTTTAAGAAATTATGATAAAAACATTATAACTAGGTCAAACGTTACCTCTATCTTGATGACATGTATTGTTATAAGACTCATCTTCTTCATGTCTCATTGGCTAAAGCACTTTGGGGTCATCTGTTTCATCTTCTAATCATGCCAATGTAAGTGTGTTGTCCTCAGCTCAGCAAAACAATGTTCTCGCATCCGAAACTCCATACAAATTCCTGATATTACGCAGCCATGGGTGCTGTTTCCTTCCATCTCCTCTATGAACTTCACTCCTTTCCTGGAGTGAAGTTCATAGTTCCAATCTTGGGATGGAATACCACTCACCCCTTAAGACTTAAGATTAAAGCATATTCGATAAAAAATAGGTACTCTATTACCTCTTTACCAAGTTTTACCATGGTAATTTATGTCTTAAAAATTATCAAATTGGTATTTGAAATATCCTAGGACATCATCATGGTAGTACCTCAATACATCTCTCCATAACCTTCTTCCCTTCATTTTTGATATCAGGATAAATCTGAAATTATAAAATTAATAATAGAATTTGTATTATTACTGCTTGAACAATCAAAAAGTCATTTGTTTTCTACTGCAAATAATTCGAAAACAACCTGCAAATATGTATAAACAACCTCTGTATGTATGGCCAACTTGGTCTCTGTGCCTAGGTCAGCTCACATTTATCAATATTTTTATTTTTTTATAAAATTTGAATAAATTTTCACATAATTGTTGTTGGCAAATGTGATAAGCAGCTGATTTTGACATTTCTCTTCTTTTATTAAATATGAGTTTTAGCCTCTGGTTTTAACAATATTTTTTTATTATTTAGTTGCGTCAAGGCTTCCAATATCCATCCTATCCATCCTCAAGACGAAACAATCATATATAATTATTCTTAAAAGAATGATTCAGAGATATAGAGGTAAGCTCTATATTTGGAAGGGGAAGGATATCATATTAGTAATAATGTAATTAAATAAATCAAAACTTTTCTAAAATTACTTCAACCATTATTAATATCTCGGTAGTAAAGGTGTGGATCCGGTGGCTGACCTTGAAGCCCATATTTGCTGCATTTGATCATCGATACTACGCAAGCGCACATCGTCGAGGTTGCCAAATTGCAGTTTATTTTCGAATTATTTGCAGTTGAAAATTTTTTTTTGAGTGTTAATCAATAATAATACAAATTCTATAATTAATTTTATAATTTCAGATTTATCTTGATATCCAAAATTAAGGAATGATATATAAAATTGAATATATAAAATTGTAATAATAATAAAACATTTATTTATATATTTACATTAGAATTAAAAATTATCATTTACTGATTTTTTCTTAATGGTTTTAAATAAATACAGTGTGTTGCATACAAGAAACTTTATTTTATAAAAGGGCGCATGTATGAAATACCTATGAAACATTGGAAACCGACGTTATGCCACGATCCACGATGATTTTTGCAGTTCACAGTTCACAGCACAGCTTTTTTAAGTTTTTAATGCACTTTTTACAATTATCACCGGTTGGAGTAAATAAAACTTGAATTAAACACAAAATAGCAATAATTACTTTGAAAATGGATGTTATAAACACTTTTCGAATTTCTTTAACGAGAGCGGTTTAGATGTTGAAAGACTATTATGATTTTTTGAAGATTCTGACATTGACAAGAGAAAATTATTTCTCTTTTTGTTTGCCGTTGTTCTTAGCGACCACTATAGCAGCTCCAGATCGCGTATAACGGTCGCGACCCAAAATAATTTCGCGACCTAAAATTTTTACGGGCTTTCCAATCTAAACTTGTTGCATTTATCTATGAATTAAATAATAAGAAATAAGCTGGCTGAATGTCGTAATAGACAAGTGGCCAAAAATAGAAAAAAAAATCAAAACTTTTCTAAAATTACTTCAACCATTATTAATTTCTCAAGTAATTTATCTCTAAATATGAATTTATACAATACACTATTCGGTAATTTATCGTTATATAACACTTGAAATTTCAATGCTATTCTTGACAAAATGGCGAATTAAATTAAATATCTAGATATAAATATTACAACTTATTGAGTAAGAGTTTATTTATTTATTTTTTTAATAATACCCTTATAATCACACTAAATCGTTAGGGTGTTTAGATCCTAATAGCGTATACATATACGGAGCATTATGGATTTACTTCAAACAATTTTACTTGAAGTATCTCACAAGTGATATGGAATACCCCAAAATACCCTTCCCTTAGAAAAGTCTATCAGCTCTGTTATCTATGATACTTATAATGGATATTACATAAAATTATTACTCTCAAGTTATAAATAATAAGACAACTTATATAAGTTATTCATGATAAGAATTTTGTTTTTACTTGATCGACTTTAATTCAAATTGTGATACGTCGTATACTAAAAGGATGATTTAGTTATTTTTTTTTATTGTATTTTAGCTAGTAAACTTATAATTATTAATATAATGGGATAAAGAATAGAAAATGAACAAAAAAATACATAAACTGAAAATTACCAATCAATAATAAGTATTATTTTATTATCATGAAAACTAATAAATTTTAAATAAATCTACAATCTTTAATTTTTATGCATGGGCCATCAAGAGTTTTACGTATATACCCATCTTCACAAAAACATCTTTCCTTACAAGTATCACCACAGTTTGCATATTGTCTGTTGGTACAAGTAGCAATGCACGGAGCCCCACAGTAAAATCTTTCATTAGGACCGCAAGAATTAGGCCCTAAAAAGTAACTTAATTATTTTAGAAAAAAATAGTATGTATATTCCTTTTATTTCTTACCATTTAAATATTTTCCATTGACCAAATAAATGAGCGAAATAAATACAACAAAAAGAAGTTTCATATTGAACACCTAGGTATAGTTTTACTTGGTGTCTGACTGTATGGCGTATTTAATTAACGCTTTTATAGAAGTTTCTTATATTTTTAAAAGTCAAATTCAAATAATTATTCTGGTATAGAGATACACTATCAAAAAACTTTTATATTTGAATATTCATATGCCAATCAGTTTGCCTGTAATTTAACTAAGCGTATGTAGATCATTAGCCCAAATAAAAATTTATCAATAATTAGACAATTAATATACAACAACAACTTGTAGATAACTAAATCAATAATTAGATTAGTATTTTTTTTCAAAATGTAAAGCAACCATGGCAATAACTAAATATTTCTGCATTACTATACTTATACTTCAGTTTAAAAAAAATAACTTTTAAGTAGAATAAGAACATATATGTATATTTTATGAGGTGTCACTTACTTTCATACACATTTTATTTTAAAATGGTTGCTTCTCAACTGCATCTGATCTGTGATTTTTTTAATAATACAGTATTGTGCCCTTGAACTTTAGATTTTCAATAAATATTGGATGAATTTATTTTGAATTATCCCCACATTTATCATGTATTAATGCTAAAAAGTTATTATGTTTATTCATTTTTTAAGTTCTGTGAAATTACTTTTTAATTGTTTTTTATATTAATTTCCTATATCTAAACAAAAAATAAACATGCTATTTAACGTTTATGTGTAAATTTAATATGTGGTAATTAGTTATAATCTGTATTTTTAAAACATTATATAAGAGGTTTGTTTTTGAAAACAATCTATGTAGTTTCATTATTCTTTGCCATTTTGCTGTAGTAATAGTTCACAAATATCAAAATGCAAGGAATACTTATTTCAGTTCTTTTTTCTGTATTTTTAAGTACAGTGGTATTTTCTCCAAGCATTGCAGAGGATAATAAAGGTAAATAAGAATTAAATATACCTATAGACAGTCAGGATTTTTATAAAACTTAAATTTTAAAATTATCTATTATGTTCAAAATAAAATTATAAACTAGCAATTTATATATACCTATAAAGAAGTAATAAAGTAACAATAAGGTATAATAAAGCTTTAAGTATACAAGCACAACATTTTTAATTAAATTTGTCTCAATATTAATATAATTTTAATTTCACAGTAATTTGTGGTGTTAATGAAACTTATGAAGCTTGTGGTTCTTTTTGTGTGGCACATTGCGTAAATCGTCAATTCACAACCTGTAAACCAGGTTGTAACCCTGGATGTTTCTGTAAAGAAGACTATATTCGTCGTACACCTGATGGCCCTTGTATCGAATATTCAGATTGCAGATTTTTAAATTTATAACTGATGATATATGATTCAATGTGAATTTTTATGATCGTTGAATTTTTAAATTTGATAAAACTCTTTTCCAAAGCTTATCATTCTTTATTCTGTAATAAATATTGTTTTTAAAGTTAGCTTCGTAACTATTTATATTAATGTATTATAAATGTGTAATAAAAGATTTATTAAAATAAACCATTAACAAACTACTACTAACTTTTATTCAAATACTACATTTTCTTGGTTTCTAGATCATAAATATGTTGTGCGTAAGCTTCGGCTTCTTCAAGGATTTTTTGCCTTTTATATGGTTTATAAACGGTTTTGTGTAATAGGTAGACGCCTAGGGTAAACCCTACAAATGTTACGACAAGCATTTGTGGGTTGCCTTTTTGTTTACTGGCCCATGCTTTGTAACTAGACCCGAAACTCATCTTTTACTCTTGATTCTGATCACTGTTTTCTGTTTTTACTTCAGTTCTTAAATCAACGTTTTCGGTTGTAAAGACTGGTCTCCAAATGTATATTCCAGATACAACTCCTATGAATGTCATTAACGCTAGTTCAATACCATTAAGACCAGCAAAACGACGAAATCTCATTTCTATAAATACCTACTATTATGTATTAAAACGTTTTTATAATTGTAGCTATTTTACCATATCTGCATTACAGACATTACAGAATAGAGCTGCACTAGGTTATCTCATTTAAATTCAAGTTCAAGATCTCAAATCTCAATGATCAAATGATCTCATTTTGACTTTCGAAAATTTGAAATAAACCACAGAAGAGAATAAAAAAGAAATAAATCATAAACCAGAAGTTGGTTGAATACAAATACGTTTTTGGTTGAATATAAAACTAAGAATATCATATATATTTTACAAATATGACTAATCTTCTTTCATCCGTTTACTTGGCATTAAGTTACCTGACAATTCGCTAATAAATATGACGATGCCACAGAAGTACTGAACGATCTTCTGTGGTATCATAATATATGATCAAGGGCAAATATTATATATGTTATCCAATATTTTATTACATAGATTCAAAAATTATGTATTTTAAATTTAAAAAATAAATTTGTTCAACTTATATCCAACTTCTTAATTTTTTGTGCATCAAATAAACGTTTCAAATCTTTTAAAGTAACATTAACATTCAGGTATATTTCCTGTAATAGGCGTAACAAAACAGTTACAACAAACATAGAAACACTTTATTTTGTAAAATATATTAAAAATTACAATTAACCCACCATGGTTCTTTTTCTGCCTCTTGCTCTTATAGCTTCATACTTGGCTAGTATCTCTTTGAAACCTTTTTTATAATAACCTCTGTAGCCCTCAATAATTTTTGGAAATATTTGATCTGCTACAGCATGAGTACTAACTAAAGCTCTTTCTAAAACATACAAATCAACTCCTTTATCTTCTGCACTACAATCCACATGCGACAATCCAAAGTCAATTAATACTATTTTTAAGTCTTTTAAATCATCAAATTTATCCTTATTATGCACGTTCATAAGTAAAATATTTGATGATGTTAAATCCCCATGTATTATATTGCCTTCGTGCATTCGTCCCAGGATAGTTCCAATAGAAATTGCCAGCTTAGAAAGCTTCTCGAAGGAAGTAGTCTCAATGAAATCTTTCAAGGTAATACTGTGTAACAAATGTTCCATAAAAACCATTCTGCGTTCAAAATCTACTAAATATATTGCAGGTGTGCGTATCCCAACGCTTTTACATCGAACAATAGCTTTAGTTTCGGCTTTTATTCGTTCTTTAGTTAAGGAATCATCCAAGTGTTTGTGCCTATACTTTTTAATAAATCTTTCTTTAATTATTGTAGGTCTTCCTAGATATGTACCTTGGTATAAGCGCGCTTCAGCGCCTTGTTTTGTAAGGGTAAAACTATCCATTTGTTTAATTATCGTTTGTATTGTTTAATTTTAATGCCTTTTTACATTTAAATTCAAATTTATTTAAATCGTTTATAACCTCACTATTTTACTAACATGTTTTGTTAGTTGCCTATGATCCCTATGATGTTGACTTGGTGATTTTATTAGTGTATATTTTATGCAACTAAATGTACTATTGGCTATGCTGGACTTAATTCAATTAGAAATAAATTTTGATAGAATTTAGAATTTAAAGGTCAAAGTTGACGTATTTGAAAAGTTTTTTTATCAATGTTATAAACTTTATGAAACTTTTTTTCTTTCTTAATTTATTTATTATTATTACTTGCACAATGAAAGTGGATAGACTGAAAATAATAGTGTTTGACTTGGGTAAATATAGTAAAACTTAAAATCCATTAGGATAAGGAAGTTTAATGTGTATTTTTTTAATCTAGACTATACATTATGGCCTTTTTGGGTAGATACTCACGTTACACCACCATTTAGAATGTAACTGTTTTACTAATATTAAACTATGGTTAGTAAAGTCCATTTGTTTTAGAAAAAATGGTAGTATAGTGGATTCCTATGGTTCTAAAATAAAGTGTTACCCAGAAGTACCAGAAGTGCTCAGCAACTTAAAAGCTTTAGGATATGAATTGGGAGTAGCTTCAAGAACGTCAGAAATTAAAGGAGCAGAACAATTAATTCAATTGTTCGGTTGGGAGAAGTATTTTACTTATAAGGAAATATTTCCAGGCAGTAAAGTAACACATTTTAATAAGTGAGTGATATAAAAATATGTATAAAATCAAAGTGTATATATTTTTCTGTCTTTTCAGTATTAAAAGGGAATCAAATAGGCACTTCGATGAAATGATATTTTTTGATGATGAAAGCCGTAACATCTATGATATTAACAGGTTAGGGGTGGTATCAATTTTAGTTAGAAATGGAGTTAATAAACAAGTTGTCGAAAATGGTATTTTACAATATGTGAATGACAGATCATCGTAGGTATTTGAATTATTACGTAAATTGCAAATCAATAGTACAAAAGACAAAAATATAAATGTTAAGTGTTTTTCTTTTTTTTTAAATAATTCAATATCATCAGAAGATATCAAGTTTTAATCAAGGGTCCATAAGAATTTTGTTTGTTATTGTAAAATTGGCATATAATATAGTTTAAAAGACGTGTACTGCTTTTTTATATGACTGTGACACCACCTATGGTGAATTTGTACTTTAGTTTATTGTGATATTATTTTAAATAATTATTTATTAATAAATATACTTGACGCTGAATAGTTGTTTTTTGACAAATACATAAAATATAAAAACGCTTAGAACAATCATCAATAGCTATTTATTATGCACTATTGCAAAGATGCAAACAATAAGCCTTTTTTATATATTTTTAATAAAAGTCAATACTTATTCAAATATTAGCTGTGAAAGAGTGGGAGTGGAACACCCTGTATATTATTGCATTTTTGTCTATACAATTTTGTCACTTTACATAATCCCAAGATATTAAATATATTTCGATAGTTTGAGAGGTATTAATAAATAATTAAAAAATATATATTTTTCAGCTCTTCAAAAAAAATTAAAAATACAACTATCCCCAAATCAAAACATACTAGGCATTTACTTTTGACAGTCGGTACTTATTTTGCTATAAATATCGTAATCTGAAATCATACAGTGTATTCAAACATCTACCTCAAACTTTCTAAAATATAAATTTTATTTGTTTTTTTTTGAACACCTTGTATACTATTTTTTTGATAGATGTAGAATTAAAAAATGAACATTTATTACATTTAGAGTATTTCAAAATTTTTAACGGTTTCACAGATATTTGGGGTTTTATATTTCATATGATATTTTCCACAGTAAACTTTTATCAAAGTTACCCAATGATTTTTCTCTCGTATTTTAAATTTTAACATTGAAAGAGCCATATAAAATAATACCGCGAATATCTGCGTAGCCGTTAAAATTTTTGAAATACTCTAAAGACAAAAAATGTATATTTTTTAATTCTCCATCTATTAAAAAAATAATATACAGGGTGTTCCATTAAAAAAAAACAAGAAAAATTATTTTATATTTTAGAAAGTTTGGCGTAGAATTTTGAACACCCTGTATGAATTAAGATTACGATATTTATAGCAAAGTAAGTAGACTATCTAAAGTAAATACTTAATTTATTTTTGATTTCAGGACAGTTCTTCTATTTTTAATAATTTTTTAAACAATGCTAAAAATAATATATATATAATACCGCGAGTATCTGCATAGCCGTTGAAATTTTTGAAATACTCTAAATATAAATATATATATATATATATATATATATATATATATATATATATATATATATATATATATATATATATATATATATATATATATATATATATATATATATATATATGCTATATATATATATATATATATATATATATATATATATATATATATATATATATATATATATATATATATATATATATATATATATATATATATTTATATTTTTTTTAATTTAAAAGAAGAAAGAATTTGTTGGCCTAGCCTATAATAATATAAGTCATGAGACATGACTTAAACATTATATAAGAAAAATATAATATAATACTAAGGGTCGGCATTTTTGGTCTTGGGTTCCGGTTTTCATGTGGACGAAGAGTACGGCCAACACTTAGTAAAATTAGATGTACTGAATAAAGACAGAAGGCGAGTATTTACCAAAGCGCATTGTAAAAGTTGGACTAATAGCTGGTCGAAAGTGTTCGTTCGAAAATTTTTTTGGTATAAGAGTGAGATTATTTGGTCTATTTGGTCCAAGATTAAGTCTAACATAATCGGCGCACCTAGAGCTTTTTCATGACAGCATCATGATTTAGTACAGTGTAACTTCAGTACTTAGGGGCGTTTAGTACAACTAGACACCAACTTTAGGGCCCTGAGGCTTCTAAGGTAATATTGGTTTGAAGATAATACCAATTTTTTACCAAGAATCAGTGATTTTTTGTTCATAATATTTTTTCGTTTTTTATTAAAAGGAGGGTCCACATTTAGTAACATGTTATATAACATTGCTATTTAACAAGTTACATGTAACATGTTAAAAAACCGGGAGCCGTCCACATTATAGTTTTCGTGGTCATGAATCGTTTTGGCGGTTCAGAAAGAGGTTCAGCGGTTCAGAAAGAGGTTGAGCTCGCAGCAGCGGCGTGCGTAATTATTTTTGAACAAGGGGAAAGAAAGTCGAGAAAAAAACCGTTTTTGAGTCCGCCATAGCCTACCAGCAAGATCTAGATACAGTTGAACTCAATTAGCTTATCTTTTCAATACGGCTGTTCTCGTGGTGTGTTTCTGTCTTTTAAAAGCATTAATAACTTAAAAGCAAACCATTTTGAATTATCCACTTCATCTACAGTACGTCTGTCCGTTCTGTAGCTCCGGGGTATCCATGAGAGGGGAAACGATATTTTCTCGATGTTTTTCGTAAAAAATTAGACGACGCGTCCCATCAATAAAAATTCGACAAATTTGCAAGTAGCCAATAAAGTGAGTGGGCGGAGCGATTTGCGGTGACGCACTCGTCAAATCGACGTATAAAATATATTGCTGTTTATTTAAATGTTTTTTGCCCGCATTCCTTTCATAGACACAGATCCAGCAGATGTAACTGTAAACCAGTACCTGATTTGTATTTCTTTTGTTCCCCCGAGGATATTTAAATAATTATTGAAACCTTCGAAAAAGGAGATCTGGAACTGGCCTATTAGATAACGCATTTTTTTCTCAACTTTTTCTCTTTTCAAATACATACTTTTTGCAATTTTTTTTGCTTTTTTATTTCACTTTAAATGAGGGACCACGGATATCCTATAACACTGTATGATCTCTATACAACTTAATTAGTTGACTATAAGAACCATACGATCGAAAAAAATGTCGTCAGCGATGGCTGGGAATGTCATCGATCGTCATGTCTAAGCCAACTAGACGGGAGGCCGACTGGACGCAGTTTATTTTTTCAATCATACTGTATTATTGATCAGTAAATAAACAAACCAATATCAGCTCACCACATAAGATTCTGTCGCGTACGTCCCTGAAAATATGAGCGGCTAAACTAGAAATATAGCAAGTGTGGACGCGTTGTTTCATGTTACAATAGCAGTGTTACCCAACATCTTTTGATCTTTACCGACTACAAATGGATAATATCTAGCAAGTTATATAGCAAAGAAATTTGCTAAATATAACTAAAAAATATGTAACATGTTATATAACTGCTATATAGCAGTGTTATATAGCAAGTGTGGACCGTTCTTAATAATACCATGAAATTAATACTAATATTAATCTTAACCAATCTTTATTATGTACAGGGTGGGTCAAATTGACCGCTTTTAAAGGGAAACACCCTATTCTAGGAATAGAAAGGCCTATTCTAGGAATATAAAGGGAAACACCCTTTCTATTCCTAGAATAGGGTGTTTCCCTTTAAAAGCGTTCAATTTGACCCACCCTGTACATAATAAAGATTGGTTAAGATTAAGATTAGTATCTATAGATAGAGAAAAAAACTAATGTCTCTGGAGCTCAATTTTTATCAAAAACATGGTAGTAAAAACTGCACATCGATATTTGTTACTGTTACGGGGTGTTTTTAATAATGTTCATTTTTAACAAATCGCTATAACTTTTTTGATATGGAAAATTTTGTATTTTTATGAAAACATTTCCAAAGTACCCTTTTTATGTAGAATTTAATGGTATGAAGTACATTTTTTTTAAATTGATAATTTAAGGAGTTATTAAGAGAAAAAATGATTTTTTATTTGAGACATCCTGTATATTTTTAATTAACTGAAAATAATTTAAAATTACCTTTCCAAAAATACAGCACACTTAATATTTTGTTATAGTCTTCTTCAAAATACAGAATTTTTAAAAGTTCGCCACTTTTAATTAGTAGGCTTTGGACCCTTTATTGATGATCTGCCCCTAATACTAAGGAACTCGAAAACATATTTTTTCAGCAAAACGAGGCACCGCCTCAGAACGCTGAAGTTATCAGCAAATTTTTGCAGCCAATTTCGAGAATAATGAATAGCTAATAATAATCTAGACAAGAATTAGAAGTACTTAGCGGTTATGCGAGGTTATCTTTCAACTCTACTGAGTTAATGAATTCCGTACCGAACATCACCTATAGCAAAATATCATGTCTTGGTTTGCTATTTATTTTTATTGTTATTAGATATAGTTTAAATGTGTTCATATATTAATGTTGTTAAATATAGTTTAAATTGTTATAAAATTCTACATCTCTCTTTGAAAATATTATTTTCGTTTCAATTGCTGCTCACAGCTAGAATTTTTCTGGTATTACAGTGGGCACCTTTCAAAGCCTACTTATTCAAAGTTGGCGAGTTTTTAAAAAAACCTTTATCTCGAAGAGGAATAGAGCAAAATATCAGGTAAGCTATATTTGGAAAGGTAATTTTAAATTCTTTTCAATGAATTAAAAAGATACAGGGTGTCGCATATAAAAAATCAAATTTTCTGTTGATAACTCTTAAATTATAAATTTTAAAAAAATTGTACTTCTACCATTAAATTCTACGTAAAAAGGTGCTTTGGAGATGTTTTCATAAAAATTCAAAATTTTCCATAGCAAAAAAGTTACAGCGATTTGTTAAAAATGCACATTTTTGAAAAACACCCCGTAACTCCGAAACGGTAACAGGTATCGATGTGCGGTTTTTTTAGAATCATAGATAACATAGTAATCTATGTAACATAGAACATAGTTTACTATTGATACATAGTAATCTATGTAACATATTAGTTTACTATGTTATCTATGGAAGAATACATACAACAGTCTTTGTGCAATATACTAACTTAATCTAAGAACATTTTTGTATTTTTTTTCAAACGTTACAATAGTATTAATTTTTGCGAGGTGATTTAAAAAAGTCATTTTAACGTCTATAGGTATAAAAGTAAGCACTTTTACGCCTAGCCATTGGAAAGTGCCCATAAGGACAATGTAAACACTATTTGGTGCTATTCTTGCAACGGTCGCGACCCAAAACTTTTGAAAATTTCGGAGCGGTTCGGCTTTTTCCGGAATTATATCGCCCAAATATTGTTTATTCAAATTTACTATTATTTTCGTTTAATTTTATAGAATTTTATAAATAAAATACAGTGTGTTGCGTACAAGAAACTTTATTTTATATAAGGACGCATGTATGAAATACCTATGAAACATTGCAAACTGACGTTATGCCACGATCCACGATGGTTTTTGCAGTTCACAGTTCACAGCACAGCTTTTTAAGTTTTTAATGCCACTTTTTCACAATTATAACCGGTTGGAGTAAATAAAACTTGAATTAAACTCACAAGATAGCAATAATTACTTTGAAAATGGACGCTATAAACACTTTTCGGAATTTCTTTAATAAGAGCGGTTTAGATTTTGAAAGCTTATTATGATTTTTGAAGATTCTGACTTTGACAAGAGAAAATTACTTCTGTTTTTGTTTGCCGTTGTTCTTAGCGACCGCTGTAGCAGCGCCAGATCGCATATAACGGTCGCGACCCAAAATAATTTCGCGACCTAAAATTTTTACGGGCTTTCCAATCTAAACTTGTTGCATTTATCTATGCGCCTAGCAGAATATTACGAAAATGTATTATTAAATTGACATAAAGTGTCAAATTCAACGAGTGTAACCATAGTTTCTCTATATATAATTACCTACGAGATACTACTTTTAAATCTTTTTATATTATTTGGCAACATTCGAAATTGTTTAACAAATTATTTGTGACGTTAGAAAAAAAATTTGCATGTTCTATTTGGAGTAAAAATTACTTTTTTTCTTTTGTGGATCGCGTTTTTATTTCTAATAAAACAATATCAAAAACTTAAAACTAATATCAATAACCTTGGTGATCTACCATGAGGAACTGACGATTGTTGCTCAGGGCCCGTATTCTGTAACTTTGACATAAAAACGTTACGCTTTCAAAGCGGTGAGCGCAAGTATTCGATCAGCGAAACGCAAGGAAGTCGATTTTGGTATTCTCGTTGCCATGCGAATCGTGTTCTGGATACTCGTTGAGCACATATTGGCAACATCACAATTTCTAATGTAGGTAATAATCTTTGGTAATAATAGTCAAAACTTGATAACTGACGGATGTAACAATAAAAAATGTCAATGTTACGTGAATTTCATAACCTATTGTTGAGTTATGTCAAGCTATTTTTCTATGGATATGTCATTATTCTTATTATACGAGGGAAGTGTTGAAGACGTTTCTCAGCATTGTCGATGTTTTGAACAATATTTATAGCTGCCAAGTTGTAAACTATCAATTACTTATTGAGGAATTTGTAGAAGAAGTAGTAATTTTCACTAAAGTGCAAGATAACGCACAAAATCACAATATTTTTGATTTTCTGACAGTTCGACAAGCAAAACGATCCTTTAAGGCAACAGTTTTCAAAGCGCTTACCGCAATCAGAAAAGACGCTAAGCGCGTCAGACGAGAATACTGAAATCGTTAGTTAAGTGCGCGCTCAGCGAAAATTAACGTCATATACGCTGAGCGTCTAAAAGCGCTTAGCGTTTTCAAAGTTGCAGAATACGGGCCCAGCTTTGCTCGTAGAATCGCACTATATCACGTGGTTTTATTGAACCACACCAAACATCTGGGAGGGCTAATTTTGATTCTAGGGGTAGTTATACCCACGTGGGTAGTTATCTAATTCAATATGTGATTCTAAAATGTTTTTTTATAATAAAAATGTAAAGCACTTCATAGTGTACCAAAATTGTCCGATATAATTATCACATCGACACATCGGCAGTTTTTACTGGTAATAAAATCGCGATAAAACAAATTTACGATTGTTTCGCGAGCAGCGTTGCCGTTTCGTGGAAAAAACGACAACACCGACCACCGGTGTAACGGTCCTGCTGCCGAAGAAGTCCTTCAGGACGCGGATCCTGCCGCAACAGTGGCCGTCGCGGCGCCGAATTGTGCGGATCGAAGCCAGTCGACGCCGAAGAACCTGAAGATAGTATGCCCCCAGATAGACCACGTCCAAGTTAAAAGGTAAAAAAATATTTTAATTTACTTTTTTATTAGATAACAAATACTTACATCAAAAACATATCACGGTTTCATCGGTAGAAATCAAAAATACTGTTGAAGATTTTTTAATTTTCTGACAATTTCACTTTTTTTAATATCTTTAAAATTGTAAAAATTACTTACCCTCTGTGTGTAAATTTGCAAGAATATATTTTGGGATACCCTAGAATTAGAAATAGATGTTAAGTGTTAAATCTATATCAAGTTAATTACTTCGACATAAGCTTATCTAACTTTTTTATTCTATGAAACTTCATAAAACTATTTTGAAATTTAACTCTTTAGAAAGCCCTTTTTTTACAAAACTGAAAGTTAAACTTACTTTACTTTTTTACAAAACTGAAAGTTAAAACTTACTCCAAAAAGAGAAATAAAATATAAAACTAATTATCAAACTAGAACCTGATATAATCTCATTTTATACATCTATGTATAAATGATAACTTGAAAACTAATGTCAAATATCATTAAGTATAACAGTTTCCGCAGAATTATGTATCGAAGTTTCATTTTTTACAGGGTTCCCTTTAAAAAAATGAAACTTTGATGTGTCGCGACGTAATGACCGACCCTGTATATCTAAATTTATTACCCGCTAATAGACATTTAAAAACCCTATAACTTTTATATTTAACTTTTTGTGGTACCTCTTATATTTTACCTAAGAATCGACCATTTCCATACATATCAGCGACCGTGTATTTTATGGTACACCCTTTTGGTGCGTCTCGAAAGTGGCCCACACCTATAACTTTTTTATTTTTTCAGATAAAAAACGAGATTTGGTATGTTAGCATATGACATAAATTAAAATTGATTGACATACTCAATTATTTTCGGTCACTTCCTGTTTCACCGGAAATGACAACCACTAGTTTCAAAAATATAAACGTCTATACCGGGTGCGTCTCAATAGTTTTGAATGACCGCCTTGGTATTTTTTTACTTCATTTGATAGAAAGTGATATTCTGAATAGAATGACATAGCAAGTTTTGACACTTTTAATAAAAAATAGGATTTTAAATTTTAATTTAGAGTGCCCTGGCCATAAATGTAACAACAATTTGACTCAAAATATCAAGTGTATGGTACCAAATTAATGGCGCCTGGAGGCACGTATAGCCGCCCATACTAAAATATTTTAATATCTCGAAAACTGCGACTTTGACTGATTTTGATGTTATTACAAATTTTGTTGCAAATATTATTCCTAATCTTAATTTGAAAACCGCGTTTCGCTAGCTACTGTAATTTTGGAGTTACAATTTTTTAAAATTTTTATGGGAGGGGTCCCATACTCCCTTACCAACCCCCCACCCCCACCAAAAACTAATGGACAGATGGTGGATAGGGTGCCACAGTACTTTTGTGCCAAATTTGGTTAAAATCGGTTCAGCGGTTTTTGACTTATCGTGTTACAGACAGACACAGACAGACAGACACCATGAAAATATTTTGTATTTAGGTCATTTATGACCCAAGTAACTCATTTTGAGTGAAATTAAAAAAACTTTTTTTTTGTCGATCCTAATAGCCTACCAAAGCTATTGGTATGGTCGGCTAAAAATTAAGATATGATTAAAAATACGATTTAGGCATCTTTTAACCGTTCAGGAGAAAACACGAAAAACATCAAACGATCAAATCTATTTTCCAAAGCTCCTTGATTAAAACGCAGTGTCTTTAACACAGTCATGGCACTCTAGATTGAAATTTAAAATACGATTGTTTTTTTAAGCGAGAATGTCAAAAGTTGACATATACTATGTAATTATACTTAGAATGTAATTTTTTATCGAATAAAGTAAAAAAATACGGAGGGTGCCATTTAAAACGTTTGAGACGCACCCGGTATAGACGTTTATAATTTTTAAGCTATATACTTAGACATGAGCTTATCTAACTCTTTTTTTTCTCTATGAAACTATTTTGAGACTTTATTTATAAAGCATATTTACAAAACTGAAAGTTAAATATAACTTTCGTACTTCCCAAAAAGAATTCAAATACCTAAGACTGAAACAGGAGTTTTAATCATAAAACAATTTTTTATGAAACAATATTAAAGCGTTTTCTTATTATAAAACTTTAAATTAAATAATATCTGTATCTGTTGGTGTAAAATAATTTTTTATTTGAATCCAGTTGCTTAGAGTAGAAACATTTGAAATAAGATCTGTATTTTCAGATTTGCTAAAATATAAGCTCGATATAAATTTTGAGAAAAGATCTTTTTTAAAATTCCTATACCACGGGCTATTTTCTGATGCATCTTTGTATTATTTTACTTTTTAAATAAGTACTTTTTTAATATACTTGAAAGGGTATAATAAATAATAAGGACTATTCATTTATATCTTATATCAAGATTGTAGATGACACAAAAATAAAAGCTATCACTTTAAATGAGACATTCACTTCCTTATCTTTAATTATAAAACATCTCAAGTAGACAAAAGATTTTTATTCATTAAGTAAAATGGTTAGTTTTCTTAATGGTAAAAAATAAAAAGAATAATGAGATGCTCTAGCCTTATTTTAAAAAAAAAATCAATGAATGACTAGATGACTTATAACAAAGATAAAATTCTATACACCTTATATACAAATATTTACAAATATATACAAATATTTAAGATATTTCTCCGACACAATGATTTTTTTATAGACAAGAAGTGATTTTTCCATATCTTCTGGTTTGAAATTGTATCTATTTTTGTTAAATATTTCATTTACATATTTGAGGTACGAACATAGTATATTTGTTGATTTTTTTCATTTACTAATATTATTTTTTTAATATTATGCATAGTCAAATATTGATCATAGCAACCTTATTAACATACTATCGTATGGGAGAAAACTGTTTATAACGTAAAAAACTGGCATATTTTTTAAAGTATAAATATTTTATAGTAATCTATAATTATGTATCTGTCGACCAAAAAGCTCAACAAATTTAATTATCTATTATTATTCTTTTCTTGTATTCTCTTTTTTGGAGGTTTTATCCTTTATATACTATCTTTTAAATAAATAAAAGACAGATTTTCTGTGGCAATTGGCAATGTTTTTGCAGAGTAGCCAAATCATAGAGTTAAATCTTCTGATCATTGTCGATCGCTTCCTCTAAACACTAAAACTTATGAAATAAAAAAGTAACATGGAAAACTACACTGGATTTCTAAACTTTACATTTTTTTTACATTTTTCATACTTCCTATATCTGTGCATACTTCAAATAAACATAGAACATACATTAATTTAAGGCAAATATGTACCACATCAAAATCATCACACTCCAAGCCAAATAATCTGAATTTAATGGAGATAAATGTTTTTCGGTTAATCTGTTAGCGCCAATTTAATTCAGAACATTTTAAATATCGTTTTGCCGAAATTATTTATTACTGCCTGGTTGGGAAACGCTCTAATAGTGTTTTGTCCACGATATTTGTTAGTTAATTTTTTTTTAATATCTATGCTGTAGATAGACTTTCTGTATAATGAATAAATAGTAAGTAGCATTGGATAAAATATAGGACACTACAAAATAAAATGTGGTGTTATTGAAGTACCTACATTTAAACTACCAACTGGCAAAGGAGTACGACAAGGAGACGCGATATCCTCAAAGCTGTTTACAGCAACATTAGAAGAAATCTTCCGTCAACTGGACTGGACCAACTAAGATTCGCTGATAGCATATGATTGCCAATAATAGTTCTGAAGAACTACAAGCACAAATTAACTAAGTAAATACAGCCAGCAATAAAGTAGGTCTCAGGATAAACTTAGCAAAAACTAAAGTAATGAACAACGAACTAGTAACTAGTAGACAGAAAAGACATTCTAATAAATAACACAACACTGAAAATAGTAGAAGAATATATATATTTTGGACAATTAATACACAGCTCGGGATATCTACTACCAGAAATCAACAGAAGAATTAAGTTAGCATGAAGTTATTTATGGAAGAACCTCAATCATATTCAAATCTGGATTGCCAATCTATCTAAAGAAGAAAACATTTGAGCGATGTGTACTATCAGTCATGACATGACTTATGCATGCGAAACCTGGACACTTAAAACGGACATCATAAGGAAACTGCAGGTCAAATTAAAAATAGACGACAATGATGAACAGCTGACGTGTCTGCAATTTGCTGAAACTCAACAAATCTGTATTTATAATTCAAGTTAATATTTTTCGGTTATGGATTTGATTTTATATAATGATAGTCGTCGTATAATGGAAGTCCGTACGTCTCAAACAGTGTGTGGTGGCTCTGGTTCTGGCTTTATAAGAACCTGACGGCAGCACGTACGGGCTGTCTCCGATTTTCCCTGTTCTCTGTCCTTCAAACGGCTCCCTTCAGGTTGGTATTGATAAGTTTTTCAACCATGTTCACCCTGGTTGGTGATCTGCCTCTGCCTCGGCGACGGGATCCTGCATGTCTTCCTTGTATTCCAAGTCCATTGGTTCCAAGTATTCCTAAGTCTCTTCATGTGCATGCTCTTGTTGACATGGCCGAAGAAGGAAAGGATACGTTTATAGACAGTGCTGGAAAGTCTTTGTGGCAAATGGATTTCGTTAAGGACCGAGAAATTGGTGCGATATGCTGTCCACATGGTATTCGCAACATCCTTCCCCAGCACCACATCTCGAAGGCGCCAATGCAAAACTATTTACAAAGTTGATTTTTGTCGAGTTTGTTACATGACTGTTCGACCAAACTTTGGTGAGCTGCGCCATAGCGTTAAGATCTAGTTGAATTCTGCTACCTCCTGTCAATTCCTCCAGTACAATAGTTATAATGTATTCGCTGTAAACGTTGAACAGCATTGGGCACAGTACGCAGCCCTGACGTACTCATATTCTTATCTGGCATATATCGGAAGTACTTCCATTCAACTCCACAAATGTTTGGTTGTTATTTTAGACACTATACTTT